CCAGGACCCTCTGCCCGGCTGGGGAGCGCTCCGAGGGGCCTGGCCACAGCCCCAGCCCGCCCGGGCCAGGCGTCCCACGGCTCCCCTCCTGGCCCCACCCACCTGCCTCCAGGAGGCTCAGCGAAGGGAAGTCCCCACCCCCGGCTCCCGCTGAGTCAGGCGGCCTCGCTCCTGGCGGGAAGTCCTAGCGGCCCTGCCCCGCGCGGGCTCCCACGCCCTGCACCCAGCCCGGCCACGGCGTCCAGCCCTCCCCAGCAGGCAGCGGGGGGGGGGGGGTCGGCGCAGCTGGCGGGATGCGCCCCGTCCCTCATGGACATGCTCCCCCAGACGCCCTTGGGGACGCCCACAGCCAGGCCGGCGCTGGGAGGGGCGCAGTGTCCCTCCCCACTCGGCCCACATGGTTCGAAACCTACACTGGAGTTTGGCGGCCGCGGCCGTGGTGTCAGTCCACGGGGAGGACGGTGCAGGCCGTGCAGCCCGCACGCCCCTCAGCCCAGGGTCCCTCCGCTCCCCACGTGGGGCAGCGGCTCCCGGGCCCCAGAAACATCATCAACCTTCCCTCCCCGTGGATTGGCCTGTTCTGTTCTGGACGCTTTGCGTGAGTGACCTCATGCAATCAGTGGATCCTGAGTGGGGCTTCGTTCACCGAGTGTGGCGATGTTGCGTCCTCCCTCCCGCTGTGGGGCTCACGGCCGGCTGTGACGAGACCCCCCCCCACCGCGGGCACTCAGACTGTGAATGCTGCTGCCGGGAACGCGCGTGTACAAAGGTTTCGTGTGCACATGTGTTTCACTAACATCACCCAGACTTGTGTCCCTAATGACCAGGCCTGAGCAAGCAGGTCAAGCACAGAGAGCCCAAGGGCCGCAGACCTGCCCTCCCCACGGCGGCGGGGCGGTGGGTGAGCCAGGACCTGGTGCAGTGCAGGCTGGGCCCAGGCCCGAGCGAGAGCGGGGTGGGGGTGGGGTCTCCTTGTGTTTCAGGCCACGAGTCTGCGGGGCTCCCTCCCCACCTGTAGCCTCGCGTGGGGGCCAGGCGGGCAGCAGCGGCTCTGCACGCTGGGGGCTCCCCGCCCTGCGCGCGGCTCCCGCAACCCTCTGTGCGCCCGGCCCGGCGACCCGGCCCTGTGGCCACGACCCCATCCGCAGCCCCACGTCCCCGCCCCGTATCCCACGCTCCTGCCAGCCTGCAGCGCCGAGAAAACAGGAAGGGGTGCGCGGCGGCGGCGCTGGGAGGAAATGCAGGAAGTGGCCGCCGGGTGCGGCGCTTATCTTGGGCCGCAGCCGGGGACCCCTGGCCTCACGCCCCGCACAGCCGGGAGGGGACGCAGGGAGAGACCTGAGGACAGCGCCTGCTCCCCTGGCCGGGAGCCCCGGCCACCTCACCCCGCGCTGTGCGGGCCACAAGCGGGCTGTGGCCGGGGGTGAGGAGACCATGTCCGGCCTCCGCCAAGCCAGGCTGAGCCCCCGAGATGGGAGCCCCGTGGCCTCACGACCTCAGGGCCGCAGGCTCAAGCCCCACGCGGGGCGCGGAGAGGATTCAGAAGGGCGGGGCCCACAGCCCAGCGCTGACCCAGCGGCCAACCCAGGCTGGCCCACCTCCCCCCAGGTCCTGACCTTCCCGTTTCCCCCAAAACAAGGACTCACTTCCCCCAGCAAGTGTGGAATCCCTGCTGGCTCCTCAGGAGGAAGGCCGGGAAGGTGGGGGTACATGGGGCTGGGGGATGATGCTTGTTGTTTGCTTCTGTGTTTACAGAGCTGGGTCTCTTCCTAGGGAGGGGACAGGATGGGGACGGTCCCTGGAGCCCCCAGGGTCCTCAGGGCCCTGGCAGGGACAATGGGCCGCGGCACCTGGCACCCCCCACCCCCGCGTCTTTGCTTCCTGGAGTGGGGGGCCCGTGTGTTCCCGCGGGGAGCACAGATGGGCGGGCAGCCCCTGGCACACCTGCAGCCGGGACCGCGCTCGGGCTCACAGGCGAGGGCCAGGTGCCAGGGAGGCCGCGCAGCCTTCAGGTCTGGCCGCAGGTGCTTCCTCCCGGCCTGCGCGTGGCCCCAGCCCCCCCCCCCCCCCCCCCGCGCCTAGCGCCAGGTGCAGGGCCTGGCTACCTCACATCCTGTCCCACAGCCGTGGCCCCTGGACGCGGGAGCCGGACCCCGTCTGCGCAGGCCCCGGGCAGGGCACACACTCCCGCTTCCCAGCGCCCCTCGCCCAGCCAGGCTGCCCACGGGACCCACGGTCCCCGCCCCCTCCCCAGCCTGTGCAGAGGCAGAGGTAGGAAGTGGGGTGGGGTGGGGGAGGGGAGCGGGTGTGGGCGCGAGAACACACAAGTGGCAACGTCAGATTGACTTTCTGGTTTTCAAATCCAGAGACCAGCTTGCCAGTCGCCCGTGTTCCAGATGTTCTTTCAAAGGCTCCCAGTCTGGGGAGGCTGTGGGACACGGGCTGCCCTTCAAAGTCGGCCTGGCCCCCCTCCTTTTGGAGCTGCACACGGGGGGTCTGGCTCCCTGGCTTCGGGAAGTTGCACAACCCTGGCCGTGCCCTGCGGCCCCGTCTGCCACCCTGGCACAGCCCCTCCCCCTAGGACCGCCCCCCGCCCGGAAGCAGCTGAGAAGGCACGTGGATGGGACAGGACGGCACAGGGTGCGGGCCACGCATGTGCCCCGGAACCCACGTCTGTCGGAGGAAGAGCCGGGCTCAGGCCGCCTGCCCCAGACCTCAGCTAGGAGGGGCCTCGCGGGTGGGGGGCCAGGGACACGCGGGACAGGACAACCGCTCTGGCCCTGGTCGGGGGTCCCACCGCGCCTGTTGGTGCTGGTCAGGTCCAGCCGGCGTCACTGAGCAGCGGGCGCCACTGGACAAGCCACCAAGGGGGTCCCGGTGCTCAACAGCAGGCCGGACGTCTTGGGGTCCGAGCAGGGCAGCCCAGGCTTCCCCTCTGGTCCTATCTTGCCGGGTCACTGTGGCCGTCCCCTCCCTGGACCAGCGGACCTCGTCCCGGAAGCCAGGAGCCCAACTTGCCGCCATCCTGTGCGAGGAAGACGCAGCAGCGGCTGGAGGGGGCCGCAGGAGGAAAGACAGGTCCACCTGCCCGCCCGGGGCCGGCAGTGGGGTCTCGCTCAGAACAGAGCCTTGGCCAACGTGCTGAGGACCTGGAGGTGCGGGGATGCGGACTCAGCAGCCGTTAGCGGGGGGGGGGTGGGGGGGGGGCAAAGTCCTGCAGGAGGAGCGGCCACGTGCAGGAGGCAGGCACGGAGCCACGAGGCCGCCAGCCCCGGAGCCAGGCTCAGCCCCAGGTTGCGGTGACGTTCGTTACCGCGGGCCTCGCAGCCGGCCGGGCGCTGTGCGACGACGGGGGCCGCGGCAGACCCCGTGGGGGACCAGGCCCTGCCCTGAGCCCGTCCAGTTGCCCCGGGGGTCCACTCTGGGAGGGCCGCCCGCCAGGGGGACCTGGGCCAGGTGGGGCTGAGCCTGCGGGACGGCGGTGGGCCCGCAGGCCTCGCCCTACTCCCACGGCCCCCACCCCCAGGCTGGGGGGCCGCCCACCCAGGGCAGCCCGACTGCTCTCAGCAGGGAAGGGGCGCCGTGGGTGGCAGCAGCCCTGACAGCCCGGGAGTCGCCTCGGATGCCCCCAGGGCTCTGGGGCCGGGTAGATCTACGTGCAAGGAGCCCCGGGGAGACGGGCAGGGGGCGGCCGTCATGCAGACCCCGTCCCTGTCCCTGTCCCCACCTGCACCCAGAGCCCTGGACACTTACTGACCCTTGGCCCTGACCCGGCGGCCCACACCTGACGCTCCACCCAACTGAGGCCGGAGCCTGAGGCCGGCGCCGTGCTGGGCCCCTCCAAGCACCCGGGCCGGACCCCAGCGCTTCGTGTCCAGCCCTCCTCCTTCGCCTCGCCCCACCCACGGCCCTGGGCCCCACCGACCATCTCCCGCGAGGCCAGCGGACCTCTCTCGACCCGACTCCAGCGTCGCTCCTCAGCTCAGACCCTCCGGGCCCGGGCCGCCTCAGCAGGAGCGCAGGCTGCCCTTCCGCAGCCGTGACCCCACAGCCCGCAGCCCACTGCACACTGCGGCACGCCCACGGAGCACGTGCGGCACGAGCCTGGCCGGGGGTCCGACCCCTGCGTGAGCATCGCCCTCGTCCCCACGTCAGGCCCCCGGGGCAGCTGCCCCGCGTGGCCTGGGGCTCCTGCTGGGCGTGCAGCAGGTGGCTGCCGTGTCCCGAGGTCTGGGAAGCTTGGGTGGCCGTGCTGTGCGCAGGTCACGGGGCACGGGGCGCCGTGGGCTTCCTGGCTGAGGTTGGGGCAGGATCTGTACCTCCTGTGCCGGGCTCAGCACACGCACGGCAGGCAGCTGGCTCAGGGCAGCTCCTCCACCCCTCACCTCGGGCGGTGCCGACGGCCCTACCGTGAGGGCTGCTCCGCACCGAGGCTGGGCCTGGCCCATCCACCTGTCCGGGGACTGTGAGCGCTGTGGAGTCCTCGGGCGTCCGGGTGCCTGACCTGCCGACTGCCCCACCCGCCCCGGGCTGACTGGGGAGGCGTCCTGGACACTCGGGCCCACGCAGCTGTGGGCCGGGGAGCCGGGGTCAGCCCCTCACCCCGCCAAGAGCCCAGGACGGCGGATCCCTGAGCACCCCTCCCAGGGCCGCAGGAAACGGCCTGGCCCCGCGAGCAGCCGGGCCAGCGACTGGCTTCCCTTCAGGCCCGTTTCCTTTATCCGGTTGTTTTGCTCTGGATTCACAAAGCTCGGCCTTCCCCTCCATGTCCACCCTTCCCCCATTCCAGAGTCAGCAGGCGGGGGACCGGACATTTCAGGGCGCTAGAGCACCCCCGGCCTGGAGCTGCCCCGGAGCAGGAGAGGTCCGTCCAGCGACCCGGGCCGCCCCCTGCTGCCCATGGTGGGGAGCGCAGCGCCCGACCCTCGCCCGGGCGTGGGGGACGGGGCAGGCGGGGGGACCTGGCATGGGGGACTGGGCAGGCGTGGGGAACCCGGCAGGTGTGGGCGACCCGGCGCCGGCCCCACGGCCTGCGGGCCAAGGGAAGACCACCAGACGGCAGCAGCAGCAGTTTATTGAGTCCTGGCTTGGCGCCTGGAGCATCACCCGCAGGCCCAGGGCCCCCCAGGAGCGCGGGCCACAAGGGAGGGGCCGGGACCCAGCGGCAGGCCAGCCCGAGGGAGAGGCCGGTTCCAGGCCCCGCGGGCTCTTGTGGGCGCACAAGACGCTAGGTGCCCTCCGTGGCCGCCCGCAGCGCGAACAGCTTCTCCCAGCAGGTGGCGATGGCGTCCAGGGCGCGCAGCACGAGCCTCCGGCTGCCGCGCCGCCGCCGGGGAGGGCGCCTCTTGGGCCACCGGCTCCGCTGTCAGGACGGGGCGGGGCGGTCAGCGAGCGCCTGGGGTCCCCACCCCCGCGCCCCCTCCGAGCTCCCGGGGGCAGGGGGCCCGTGGGTGGGGAGGGACCCGGGCCGGCCCCGCGCACCTGGCGCAGCGCCCAGCAGTGGCGCCGCATGACCGCGTCCGTGCGCAGGGCCACGGTCCACGCTGCTCTCTCCAGCGCCCCGCGGCGGCGCCCGGCCACCACCCTGCGCAGGGTCCGACCCAGGGATGCAATGGACAGTAGGATTCCGCGCTCCTGGGGAAGGAAGGGAGGACGCTGGGGAGGGCCCTGTGGGAGGCCCCGGGGGCGCCAGAGGCAAGGGGAGGGCGGCCGTACCTTCTGGGCACCGCAGGAAGCTCCCACCCGACCCCTCCAGCCAGAGGCCGCAGCTCCAGTCAGGTTTTTCTGAATGAAATGCAGGGGTCGGGAGCCCGGCCCCGTCCACGCGGCCCCTGGCCCTCCCTGCCTCACGGCGGCCTGCAGGTCCTCCGAGATGACCGCTCGGTAGTGGCGGAGCACGTTAGGGACGCTGCAGGCGCGGGGCCCTGCCTGGCCGGGCGCCATCCCCAGCAGAGCCAGCAGGAGCGCCCAGAGTGCAGGCCTGGGAGTCACCTGGAAGGGACGCTGGGTCAGGGCGGGGTGCCCAGGCCTGCGGGGGTGCCCCCCACGACAGCCCCCAGGGAGTCTCCCAGCAGGTGCACAGCGGAGAGGTCGCTGGGCCATCGTGACCTAGGCACGGGCCCAGCAGGACATGTCCTTGCTGTCTCAGGTTTGGGGCAGGATGGACGGTAGGCCTGCAGGCCACACAGCTCTATGCAGACACGGGGTGAATGGTGGGGGGCTGGGAGGCAGGGCCGGGAGGGGGGGCTCCAGGGGCAGAGCTGACCTCGACCTAGGGGTGCAGCCCGCACCCCGCCCCCAGCAGGGCCAAGCTCTCCTCCGGAGCGGCCCCCGCCCCCCAGAACGGGGGAGGGCAGAAGTGCTCTGGTTCCAGCACAACCGCTCCCCCAGGCTCTCCCGGGCTCGGGGCAGGGCACCCCAGCACCTCCTGCCCAGCAGGACAGGGCTGAGGGCTCTGCGCAAGGCCACACCCCCCTGGGAGGGGAAGGCTTGGGGGAACCCCCAGGGGCACGGAGGGGGGCAGCTGTGCCACACCAGACACGCCTTCTCCAGCCCCCCCCCAAGAGCCCGGCTTGGGGAGAGGCCCACAGGTCAGAGAGCGAGCAGCTAGTTCCCGACCCCGGGCCACACACCACCCCCAGGCCCCTGGGCTGGAGTCAAACAGCAACGGGAAAATTAATCATGTGAAGCCAGCGGGACGCAGGACTCGACTCCGCTTCCCAGCCCTGGGAGGGGGGCCCGCCGGGCCGCACCCCAAGCAGCACGGAGGCCTGGGGTGCAGCGCTGGCAGGTTTGCTGTGGCCCCTCGAGCTCGCCCCCAGGCATGCCCAGCAGATCAGGGGTCGCAGCCGGGCAGCAGCCGTGGGCATGGGGAGGTCCACGCGGCCGGAGAGAGCAGGGCAGCCCTGGCACCAGGGGCCTGGCCGGAGGCCCAGCAGCCCCCTCCCACCCCCACCGGCCCCCCCGCTGCCGGGAACCGGCACCCAGGGCCCGGCTGTACTGAGGTGGCGGGAACCCGGGGGGACTTCCCGGCAGGGCACGGAGGGCCAAGCCACCTCCCCTGGACCACGCTCCCCAACCCTCTGGCCACGTGGGCCCCCTCCCCAGTGGCCGCTCACCATGGGCCTGTCACGGGGAGGCCCTCCCTCAGCCCCGCCAGGGGGCCTGGCACATAACCGTGGGTCGTGGGTCCGTGGGCAGGGGGCGGCTGAGGCCTCAGGACAGGCTGCAGCAGGGAGCGCTGGCGGCGGGCAGACGAGGCTTTTGAAGTTGGCTCCTCTGGGGAAGGAGGGAGGGAGCAGGAGGGAGGCCCCAGGATCCCGGCCCTACCCCCTCCCTCTCCCCACCTCCTATCCAATTGCTTCTTCAATCAACCTGACCCTGGAGCCGCTGCGGGCTCCCTGCCCAGCCAGGGTCCTGCTCAAGCTGCAGCCCCGGGACGGTCTGCGTTGCTGAAGAGGCGGGTGGCCGGGGCGCCTGCCCCTCTGCAGGTGCTGCCCCCTGGGAGCCCGGGAGGGGGGCGAGGCCTGCCCCCGCCACAGCCCCCAGCGCCTGCACCCTCGCGTCCGGGCCAGGGGCGGGGGGGTCCTCCCAGGCTGAGGGGGCCCTCTGCTGGGGGAGCCCTGGGCGCCTGGGAGCGGGGGGGGGGGGCCGCCACGCCCATGCCTGGCCGCGCCCGGTGCCCCCCCAGAGCACCTCAGAGCAGCCTCCAGAAGCCAGCCCGCCTGGACCTACAACTGAAGACCCGCCGGCTGAAGAAAAGCCGAGCAAGCGCCTCAGCGGACACCATCCCCACGTGGAGGAGAGGACATTCACACATGATGATCCCGATGTTCTGGAACTTTCCAAGGGCTCTCCAGAGGCCGCGCCTGACCGCGAGATCAGAGGAGCAGCCGGGAGGAGCCAGGTCCAACCCAGGGCAGCGAAGGCTGCCAGCACCCCTGGGATTGTACAGAACGGCTGGCTGCCAAGCCCCTAAAGCCTCCGGGACCCGTTCTGTGTAGCAGGCAGGGTCCCTCCCTCCTCCTCCAAGAGATCGGAGGAAACTCCGAGGTCCCCGCCAAGACCCCGCAGAGACCCCCCCCCCCCCGCCGTGAGCCGCCCTGCACCGCTCCACGGGTCTGGCCCACCTCAGGCTGCGAGGTGGAGGAAGCATGTCCGGGTCCAGCCTGAGTGGGATCCGGGCCACGGGGTGGCGTGGGGCCTGCTCCGGGCACCCAGCGTCCTCCGGGCCCCCGGAACCAGAGGTGGCCCCAGCGGAGCCGCGTCTCAGGTGCTGGCATTGAGGCAAGTGCCGCCCAACCCAGGGCTGCCTGGGAGGGCGGAGCCGGCTGGAGGCCCCGTCACGGGTGTCACGGGTGTCAGAATCTCCCGGTGCGTGCACGTGCGGGGACAGCTGCCAGCTGCCCTCTCTCCACACGTAACAATCAGCACCTCTTCCCCCTGGCCCCGGCCTCCGGACAACCCGGGACTTCTGGCCAGACGCCTGAGCCGTGGCCGACACACCCCTCCTCGGGGACCCCGGCGGCTTCCAGCGGGACACACGGGACCCACAGCTGAGAAGGCCTCTGTCCTCACACACCAGCGGCGGGACTCCACTCAGACTCCAGGTTATCCCTTTTCCGGTCCAGAGATGAGGGCAGTTACAAGCGCTTTAGGACAAAACTGAGGATAACTTAGGAAAAAAAAATTCACTAGCAAATGTGAGAAAATCTCTTCTTGGTAACACTTCCCTCAACGCGCGCCCGAGGGGCCTCCTGGTGACCCCCTAGCGACACAGTTTGGGAGGCACTGCGGGAAGCTGAACCTGCCGTCTGCGCTCTCACTCGGGAACGCCAGCGACCCTGGGGGGCAGACTGTGAGGCGCCCCCCACCCAGGGGGATAAGGCCGTCGTCGCCAGGAGAGCGGGTCTGGCTCTTCCCAGAACGTGCCCGCCCCCGCCCCCGCGCCCACCCCGAGCCAGGGAGGCACACGGCCTCCTCTGCGGCATACGGCTGTCTGCAAGAGGCCCCCTGAAAACAAGAACCCCAGTGAGGCCATACAAGGCCGGAGGGCCGAATGGGGCGGCGGCAAGGGGGGACTGGCGCAGAGAAAACCAGGTCACCAATCTGGACGCACTATCTAGAAAAAGTTTAATCAAAGAGCAGGATGGACAGCTCAGAGCCCCTCCCAGCCTCTCCTTGCTACCCCACGCTCCTCCACGTGCTGCCCCGAGGCCCGCGCCCAACGGGGACCGATGATCAGAAGGTGTTCTTGATGTGGGCTGCCACCAGCACAAGGATCTCCCCGATCTTCCTCTGCCAGTTGGCGATGTCCTTGGACACAGCGCACCACAGCTCCCCGTGCCGGGGCTCGGCGTTCTCGCAGCGCCTCCTCACCTCCTCGCGCTGCTCCTGCGCAGGGACCAGCGGGCGCTCGAGTCAGGGCTCCTCCCAGGGGGGCCCACGTGCTGGCTGCCGCACCAGGCTCCCCCGAAAGCTACCCCCGGGCTCGCATGGAGTTGGGACAGAACCCACGGGGCACAAGGTCAGTCCTCAGCCCACCCCTTTACTCTTGGGATCCCGTGCCCCAGGCTAGGTGGGTTTTCTCAAGAAATACTAAGACACCCCTTAAAATCACCCAAATGTCTACGTTTCAGGCTAAGAGGCTACCAGGCTGTAGGGAGAAAGAGCTGCGGAAGCAGAGACTGTCGGGGGGGGGGGTGTTTACCGCTGTGCATGCCCCCCCTCCCCGGTGTGGGGGCAGCGGACCCCCGGTCGCCAAGCAGCACCTCACCTCTGTGCCATGCTGCAGCTCAAACTTGTAGAAGAACGCCCAGGCGTCCCCCAGGTCCGAGTCGATCTTCACCGTGCGGTGGAACCACTCTCTGGCCTTGGTGATCTTCCGCTCGCTCCAGAACAGCCTGTGCGGAAGCACAAGCACAGGCTGAGCGGTCACGTCCGACGGTGCCCAAGGGCTGCCGCGGGGCCAGCAAGAGTGACCTGGGCGCCGCCTGCCCGGGCCTGAGTGCACAGCGAGCCCGGCCCTGGCTGCGGCCAGCACGGGGCTTGGCTCTGGCCACACGGATCTCCTGTCCCTGGTGAGCCCCTGGGCCCCCCCGGGAGAGCCGAGGACGGGCCTGGCTGCCTGGGCGTCCCTCCAGATCACCGGCTTGCAACGGTCCATCAGAGCTCAAACAGCCGTTTCTTAAAAAATCCTCAGAGACCAAGAACTTCAAACTCCTTTAAGTCCGTGTTATTCCCCTTTGGGGAAAATACCAGACTAGGAGAGTAAACCTGACAAAAAGTCAAATTACGACTCTGACCCGGGAAGGTGACATCTCGACCCGCTCCTCAGTAGGTACCTTTGGGATCGTTCTGCTCTCACCCCACCGCCAGCCCCAGGCCCGCGCGGCCTCCAGCGGGAGCCCAGCTGACACTGAGGGGCTGGGCCTTGGGTCAGTACCGGGAACGTGGACCAGAGCAGACAGACACGCCCGAAACCAGGTGGTGCTGGGAGCCACGGGTGAGGCTGGCCAGGAACCAAAGGACCCACGAGGGCCCTCGGACAGCCTGGGGCTCTGGGTGCTTCCAGCCAGCTCCACCGGCCCCGGGCCACAGGCGCCGAAGCCAACCCCACACCATGAACCTGCCGTTCAGGGCAGCTGCTGGCGCTGGCCTCGGTTACGGGACGAGTGACTTCGTGCCCTGATAGCTTGATTGTTTTTTAAGCCTTGTGGTATTCTTAATTGCTTGGTGTTAGATAAACTATGACTTAAAGAGCACAAACCCCGATAGCAGGTACACAGAACACCAACCTGGGAACAGCGAGGAGTGACTTATTTACTTAGCAAAGCCTTTTACGAGGTTTTATGGCCGCCCTATCGGAGTGTTACACATAACAGTCGTTCCGGGAGGCGGAAGCACAGGGCAGGAGGCAGGCAGCCCCAGACAGGCCCAGGCTGGGCCTCAGGAGCCGGTGCCCTCAGCCCTGCGGCACCTGAGCCCACTGCAGGGGACGGCCCGGCTCCTGCCCAGGCAGCGACAGCACAACGGGAGCACCTGGGCTGCACGGGCCGCCCCCCCGCCCCCCAGGTGAGGCCCGCACAGTCCCAGGAGCCCAGCCGAGGTTCTTCCTGAGGACCCTCCACCTCCCAGGCCAGTCACCTCCCACCCTGCCCTCAGGCCCTCCACGCACGGCCACGACGTCA